GCGGATATCATACTCTCTTCTCAAAAGTCACAGGTTATAAATTATGCAAAGAAGCATGAAAGAAATAATGCTGCTGCACATTTTTGCTAACATGATTATATATTGGATAAATGTAAGCATGAACTGGTTAAGTGAAATAAGTGAAATAATAGACAGGTTGGATCTGGCCGAAAAGCTTTCTATCCAGAAGCTGAAAGAAAGCTGTATAATTGGATAATGAAACAAAGAAAGCAGGCTTTTGCAGTGACTTATGCAATAATACGATATAGAATGCTGAAAATATTAGAAGAACCTGAAATTTTAGTTCTTTATGGTAATGCATCAAAGGATTTTAAAATGTCTCATCATTAGCTAGTTGCATTTTTGAAACGATACAAACTGGCATTACGAAGACATACAAATATATCCTAAAAACTTCCAATTCAAACTCAAGATTTATTAGAAAAGTTTCAGCAATTTGTTATTCGCTTTAGAACAGAAAAATCCTTCGAAATAGGTGAAAATTTTAATATAGATGAAACACCTGTTTGATTTGACATAGCTGGCAATATCACAATCAATTCAAAAGGTGAAAAAACTGTGCATATTCGAGCAACAGGTAATGAGAAGAATCAGTTTACTGTAGTTTTGACATGTGTCGCAGGTGAGGACTGATTTATGGAATTTACTGAAAAGGAATGCAAGGAAAATTTTATTATACTTATAGTTTTTTATTCATTTTTATAGATGGTATTAAATTATTACCTATCTGCATTTTTAAAGAAAAACAGATGTCACGAGAAGAATAAATTCCTTCTGGAGTAGTAGTGTGGTTTCAGGAAAATGCATAGATGAATGCTGATCTGATGAAAAGATATGTGGTTTATCTTAATAATGCAAGAACTAACAATATTCCAGTAATATTAGTATATGATTAATTTAGGGGTCATATTGAAGAATCAGTAAAATTAAAGTTTCGCAAAAGTGAATATAATTTGGCAGTCATTCTAGGCAGATTGATTAGCATTTGTCAATCGCTCGATGTTGCGATCAATAAACCATTCAAAAAAAATCTATGAAGAGAATGGCATAGCTAAATGTCTAAGGGTGATGCAGAAACAACTTCTGTAGGAAACCTTTGTCGGGCAAAATTAAGTAATGTTTGCATATAGATCAAATGTTCTTAGGAGGCAATTTCAGATGAAATTATTATCAGGTCCTTTAAAAAATGTAAAATATCAAATTTTTTAGACAGATCTGATGAGAGTGGAGATAATAACGAAAATGGAAGTGAATATGAGAGTATAGATGAAAGTGCAGATGAAAATGAAGATAATAATTTGGATGTTATATATATTGATAGTGATTGTGATGGTAATGATAGCATTGATGATAATAATAGCATTAATAGTGATTAAGGTTATAGCATTTAAAATTATTGAAATAAACATTTTTTACAACAAGTTATATAATATATATATGAGTGCTGAAATAACAATAAATAATAATCAGATTTTAATTGAATAAATTGTGGGATGCTTATTTTCGGGTATTAATAAATCTTAGTGGTACTTATTTTTGGGAAGTGTTTATTTTTGGAGGAATATGGTATTATTTTTTTGATAATAAAATCTGTCTTGACTAAAGATGGAACTGTAATTAATTTTAAAATTTTTAGCTAGTTGCAACTATTTATAAATTTTTATATTAAAATAAATTTTACAAGGAGTTGCTACCAGTTACAACCCAAGTTGTAACTTACCGAGTTGCAACTTCTTAATTACAATGCCATCTTTAGTCTTGATAGTCAGAGGCGGCATTTTCTATTAAAAAAATAATAAACCTATTTTTTTTAATAATAAATGTCGCCTCTGACTGTCAGGATGGATTAAATTATTAAAAAATGCTATCAGGATGGATGTTATTATCAAAAAAATAATAAACCTATTTTTTTAATAATAAATGCTGCCTCTGACTTTCGGGACGGATTTTCTAATATAAAGTTTATTATTTTTTTATTTCAAATCTGAAAAATTGGATATGAAATCAAATTTGAATCTGACAGATCAGGTTTGAATCCAAATCCAAATTCGAATCTGATCTGGATCTGACAGATTGAATCAAACCCAAATCTGAATCTGAATTTAATTCAAATCTGATAAATCTGATTCGATCCGATCTGTCAGATCTAAATCAGATTCAGATTGAATCAGATTTTTGCGAACACTAGTGACACAGATTCATAAAATTTATTCTCTCTTTCCTATATATAATTCTGCTTATCTGGTTACCAATATTTTGCATATTTTTAGCTTCTAGACCACGTTCCTGTATAGTTACTACTTCAGGATATCTTTACATTGATTACTAGTAAATTTATTTTAAAGTTTGTATTTTTTGTATAAATTTATACTTGTTTGTTTTACTATCCATGATATTAGAATCTACTGTACAAAAAAATTTAAACCCAATTCCATAGAAATAGATGAAGCAATAAAGCTCTTTTCAGATATAACAGACCTTGATTTTAAGCTGATCTATAATGATCATACATATTTTCATCATTTATTAGAAACTAATAGTAAAGATGATATCACTCTTTTAGATGCTTATCATCCTGGAGATTTTTGATAAATATATTATTCGAGTATCTGGAAAGGGTTTTACAGTTGTTGATCATCCATCTGAAATTTATAGGATGCCTGATGCTCATGAATGTATTGATAGTAACCTGCCTCTTTGCCTGGTTCTAGATATTGATACGAGGCAGAAGCCCGATCCCATTAATCCTGAACTATAGATATAAAATTTTTTGTGATGATTTATTATTCAGAATCTTAATTGCTTGTGCTGATATTTTATACTCTTTATACTCTGATTTAAAACATCTCATAACTTTAAATGGTCTTGCTTTAGCTAGTTCATTTAGTGCTGATAAATGCAGTTGGCATATCATATATCCTTCAGCTTGTTTTATTGATTATAGAGACCTTAGGTAGCCTTCAACTCCCTAAAATTTGTATCATACCCAAAGTATTATGGCCCCCGTTATACAGTACGCAAATCAACATATGTTTTTCAGATCTTGTACGATAAACAGTATATTTCTCGGCAACAACTCCATTTTATTTTTATTAGAAAATTACCACAGACAATAGCTAAAAACTTTGTTATGTATCACGGTTTAAGACCCGATATGTATTTTTTTATTTACAATCAATAAGCAAAGGTGCATTAAGTACAATATCTTTACATGATAATATTCCGCATATCCAAACTCATTTAAGAATTTAATTTATTCGCTCTAAATAGTTTAAAAATTTATTTTTTTATTAAATATAAAAAAAAAAAATAAGAATAACCTTTATTGGGAATAAATTAATTGCGTCACTAAATAAAAATGTAATTTAGCAAACTTAATACAAATTTAATTACGAAAAATTTGATATACTAATTACTAAATCGGAATCACAAAACATTATGAATCGTTCTTAAAAATTTGAAATACTTCATAATCTTCTATTGAAAATGTTCCATCCGTATCTCTTATCTTTTTTTCTCATAGTATGGGTTGTGGGGATTGACGGATTGTATACATGTATTAGCATACACAGATTTCCTTCCAGTTTATTACAACGAAGTCATGATTCTGGAACTTAATAAATACGCAGTATTATTCGGAAAAATTACTACCGAGATGATTACCGAGTGACATGCCGAGATGGAGTGCGCAGTATATCGAATAAATTTTCCGGCAATAAAATTATAAGCCGAATTCTTGATGTTTGGTGCAGTATCAAACTGATGATAAAAAATTCAAAACACCTTTATTATAATGTATTAAGTAACAAATTTCTTGAAATGAGGCGGAATGGAATGTTGTGAAAATGAAGTATAGCGGTAAGTGTGAATTGGAAGCCTCAACTTGTTTTATTTCTTTTAACCCGTTGCTAATTTCAGAATTCTTCATACAGGTTTGAAATTATTTCATCTCGGAAAAGTCTCTTGCAGGAAATAATCTATTACATAGTCTGTGTGGGTGGGAGTGATAGAACGAAAATTCTGTAAATGTCGGTGGAATAATCTATTTCGTGTAGTAAAAGAGTATAGGGATGTGAATCTTTTAGTTAGTGATATAAATAAATTAACTAGATATTTTTCTGAAACGTGAGAGAGAAAGAAATAACTTGATGCTGGGATTCGCATTAAATGGCTTAGGATTCGCCCTCCCTCTTTGATAGCATCATATGTTTCATTCACTTTAACATTTTCTGATTCATGTATCTGAAAATTGTCAATAAAGTTTTCGCCCTTATCGGGCTTTAGTTTGTTTAGTTTGTTGCATTTGCCAAGCCTGCCAAGAATGATCGCAGATTACCACTCATCTGAATATATTGAATATATTGCAATCCAGGAAATATAAACGTAGTTATTCGGTAAGACAGATGAACGTAGTAATTCGGTAAACAAAACGACCGCAGATTACCACTCATCTAAATCCTTACAGATTCAGGAATATAGCCTGCTGAGAATGACCGCAAATTACCACTCATCTGGTTATATTGCAGAACCAGGAAATGTGAACGTAGTAATTCGGTAAGACAGGAAGCCACTACTGTCAAAAGCGACCGCAGATTACCACTCATCTAATCCTTACGGATTCAGGAATATCTGACTAAACTACCTTCCGCCCCAAGGGTTTTAGGCCAAAAGTTTGTCGGGTGCTTTATATGGAGTGTAATTTGTATTGTTAAATGTTCCGACTAGGGATGGGAATGATCCGATCCAGACCGAAAGACCATTGGTCCGGTCATAGGACCGGTCTTGTACCAATCTTTTTTAGGACGGATCGACAGAATCGATCATAGGATCGGTCTTTTTTTTTAACGGTCTTATAATAGATGGTCTTATCGTCTTATCGATCGCCCTAAACCTTTTTTATTGATAGACGTGTTTTTACGTGTTAATATAAATGATAAATTACGCCAAGTGTAACAAATTTTTGAATTTATCAATCAAAGATGTCGTCTGATAGTATTAGCGAAGCTGATTCTTTTCTTTCCTTAGCTTCCACTCATTCTCAACCTTCAGACAAAAAAATTCAAGTTGTTTCTGATGTTTGGGATTATTTTCAGAAAATAATTGATGAAAATAATGTTTTAAAATCAAAAAAATGCAAATTATGTCATGCAACTTTTGCTGCTACCTGTGCTACTTCTACTTTACGCCGCCATTTACAAAAAAAACATACTATAACATATACATTTAATACTTCTAACAAACAAACAAAACTCACTTCATATCGGTTTAAACCTTATACCAAAAATGAACAATCACACATTACAACCAATTTGGTTGACTGGATTGCTGTTAATTTACAGCCTTTTAAAGTTGTTGAGCAAGTTGAGTTCAAGAAATTAGTACATTCATTGGATTCTCGTTATGTTATACCATGTAGAAAGACAATAAAGAATGATGTAATCATCCGATTTACTGATTGTAAAAAAGATATTTATACTTATCTTAATAGCTTTACTTCAAAAATTGCATTGACTACAGACATTTGGACTTGTTCTATAACTAGTCAATCTTATTTAGGTATAACTATTCATTTCATTACAAATTTTTGGGAAATGAAAAAATGCCTTATAGATATAGTTTTACTTCAAGGTTCACACTCTTCTTCATTAATAGTAAATCAAATTTTATCAACTTTGGAAGAATTTAATATAAATGATCGAGTTATATCATTAACTACAGACAATGGTGGGAATATGGTGGCATGTGATTGAGATTTAGCAATTGAATTGGATAAAGAATTTTCAAATTTATCATTTAACCATTACCGATGTGCAGCCCACATAATTAATTTGGCTGTAAAAGCTGGATTAAAATGTGTTGATTCAGCTATTATTAAACTACGACAACTTGTTATTAAAGTTAGAAATTCTCAAACATTAATTGATGATTTAAGAACTATATGTACTCTAAAACAAAAGCAATTTGTTATGCCAGTTCAAGATGTTGAAACAAGATGGAATGCTACATATTGTATGATAGAATGTCAAATTAAAATGAGAGAAATAATGCAAATTTTAGTACATTCTCATAAAAACATATTAGAAAATTTGTTTCCAACAGTTTCAGAATGGGGAAAAATAGTAGTAAGTACAGAATATTTTACATTTTATATATATTGTATTGTATAAATATAACTTTTAAAACTTAT